TATTGATGGATACATTCCTCGAACAAGGTAATGGCCTGATATTGTTCCTATAACTTTAATCTGTTTTAATTTTAATATTTGCATTTTGTTTTTATTCATTTGTCGTAGCATTCAACAGAATCATTGTTTTCGCCGTGAAGTGTAATGAGACAGACAACATGCACTAGGGTGGGTGTGCGAATTATGATTCACATTGGCAAACTATAAAATGTCTAGATATTACAGTTCTGTTATAAATTCACTATAAGTATCAGCAGATCGTCTGCTTTTTATTTAATTTCAAAATGCATACAAGTGTGATAATAAACTAGTTAGGATTATAAGACCAAATATAACGACGTACATTGACTAGTATCTACATACTGGTGAGTGGACATTAACCATGGGAATGTAGCAAGAAATTTATCGTGCAGTATTGTGACTTCGACCCCCACCTCGCTTCCGTGGAAGAAATCGTTATGTTATAAGTTGTGTCATGCAAAATCCGTTTGGTTATGATTCCAATACATATTTAACAACGAGTAGAAAGTAGTCTTGATTTTCTAACTTGATGAAAACAAACTATAATCTCATTAATTCTAACAGTTTTTTTTAGTTTTAAAAATGGCGGCGCCCTGTCGGGAACATCCGCCATTCTGAGGATAAAAGGTATTTAGGTTTGTTTTCACCGAGTTACAAAATCAAAACTACTTTCTACTGGTAGTAAAATATGTATTTTATTGATGGCCAATAGGATTTTGCATGACATAAGCGTATATCATAACAATTTCTCGTGGCAGCGAGGTGGGTGTCAATATAATACTACTTACAATATTATTGTTACTTCGACCACAACCTCACTTCCGAGGAAGAAATCGTTATGTTACAAGTTGTGTCATAAAAATCTTTATGGTCATCAATCATATGCATATTTTACTACAACTAGTAAGTAGTTTTGATTCTTTAACTTCCGTGAAGCGATCTGAACACAAGTAAGATATCGTTTCAGGCTTCCACAACGCTAAACCGCACTCACAAACATAACCCATTTAGCAACGAACTGCGGGGTCCTGTGGAAATCTGTGCATGGGGACACCATCGCCCGACCCTAGGAGCAACTGGCGACAAAGCAACGATTCGGCATGTTGTCGTTGATGTCGAGAAATCATCAAAATGATGAGCGTGCTACACATTTTCTATACAACTAACTGAAAATCGTTCCTCATATGACGTCACTGCAGTGCTCTGGCGACAGAGTTACGTAACCTGTCTGTGGTTTCGTCGTTGGCGGGCGAGAGGGAAGCAGGCGACTTTTTGGCCACTTTTAATCGCTCGGTATTAATTAACCACAAGTTTTTAAAGAATAAATTTGGTGTTCCGCATAAGACTAACCACAAATCTTTCATATGTAATGGTTAAAAGAGTAACAAAAAACAAAGTTTAGTGGTTCTTTAACAGGACTCCAGATGAGGGCCGTATTGGCGTATGTACGGATAAAAAATATGCACGATGCGGTAGGAAATAATTTAGAAAACGTGTACGGTGTTAGAATCATTTACAGACGTATTTATCTAAAAAAAGTTTTCAATTTGTTTTATTGTTTATTTACCTGTTTACACAAGACTGGCAATGTTGTGGTGCATATATGAAACGAAACACAAGGTTACTGATATTCCATTAAATTCCATTCAGGGCCCCTATTCTCGAAAGGATCCTAGCCCTAGGATATCCTAACTTTCCTTCTAGGGTCTGGGATAGGTGTCCTACCTTATTCTCGAAAAATATCCTAGCGCGCTAGGATATCCTAACTTAGGACAAATACTAGGATAGGTTGTGACTTGTCCTAAGTCTATCTTAGTGGAAGTCAACATGGTGTGGTTATTGTTTGTTCACCAATTTTGACGTTGTCAAACAAAATAACTCACCTAAATTACATTTGAATTTACAACAGCACACAGTTTTGATGAGTTAAGAAGAGTTTTTTGTGTATACATTATCAATGTATCGGTAATGAATATACACACTTGTTGCAATGCACATATTCTTTAGATCTACAAAAGAGATTTGTTCAGTTCTTACCTATTCTCGGCCTTTTTAATCACAACTTTACTGTCACAGTGCTGTGAAATTTCAATGTCAAGGCCAACTTGATAGGGGAAGTAACTCCTGTTTATTTCCTAAGTGATATTTAGGGGAATCCCCAACTTAATTAATGTTTTTCTATCCCTCTTTCTGAAGAGCTCGCTATCCTAGCTAGGATCGGTAGCTCAAGTTAGGAGACAGGATCGTTTCGAGAATGGGTCTTATCCTAACAGTAGGATGTCCTAACTCCTGTCCTAACTAGTTAGGATCTGTCTTAGCTGGGACACTTTCGGGAATAGGCACCCAGTACTCTAAATGTACTCTTAAGATTTTCCACTTCTCCTATATTGTAAAATAAGGAGTACATACTTCTGATGTTGAAAAATTATCTGGAGCCCTGCATTAATATTCATTTAGATTAAACAGAACTATATATCTTACAACATACACCTATAACAATATTCATCATATTTAAAGCAAATAGATACACCTGGCCTCTGTCCAAGGCTCTGTATATATTTTACTTCCAGCATGTATTTATAACATGCCAGCAATTGATAAATTATTATTTAGGAACCCTCAAAATCAGGGGTAAATATCAGCAGACGATGGAGATTGGTGCAACAACAGCAGAGAATATGTTCCTTGTGCATGGGTGACTCACAAAGGATAAATGCCGTTTACACAAGTTTCACCAGAGACAAATGATGGATTAGGCCCAAAACAGAAATAAAAAGCCACTATTATAGTTCTGAAAAGCAGGATATTAAAGAATATCAATCTCATAAGGATGCTTGGAAAGAGAGAAAGCCAACATACAAAATTTGTTTAGCAGGTAGTCAAAGTTATGTCACATTAAGATATGAAACAACAGTGCATATGCACTCACTTTAGCTTCCTGTTGATGCAATAAAGGACATATTATCTCTTACAACCTGCCTGAAATCAGTAATTGAAACTTCGAGGTGAATAGCTTCCAAACAGAGAACACTTGCTATATATGGAATGTATAAACAATTGCTCCATACATCGAAAACTGTCGCATGAGATGTTGTCAATGTTTGCCAAACTGGTTTCAATCACAAGTTATTGGTAGGATATACGCAAAGAGCGCTCCAATGGAGATAACTCTATGGGTTTCGCTTGAAAATATCTTAGGGCGGTAGAGGGCGCGAGAGTCAATTTAATGCAACGTTGCATTAATACATTCGAACTGTTTAATTTAATATATATTGTAATCTAAATAAGTAATATTTGGGGGGAATAAATTATATGGTAGCTTCCCTGAGGACTGATAGTATAATTGAGAGAAATGCATTATTTATTTTTAGAGATGTGTGGTATGAGATAGTAGAAGAATCAATTATAAACCAGTTTGTATTCCAAAACCTTAAGGGAATGTTACTAAGATCAATCAGCAGGTCTGTCTTAACATATCCTTCAGCATAACAGGAGTGAGGGAGTTTAGTTTTACGCATTCTCTTCCCACAGAGGTTACTCCTATCATATCTTCCTACGTAACCTCTGTTCTAATACGGCCCTTTCATGGTGTGAGCGTTCAAGACTCGTGATTGGAGGTAATCAGATTTAGTTGTGCAATCAGCAACGTTGTTTCAAAAGTGATCATTCGCAAGGCCTCGGTAATTTCCGTATACTTCGAGAAAACTAAACCTCTTCCCCTGCGCGATGCGCAAACGTTTCTTCTAGACAGAACTCAGTCATGTTATGGCGGATCAGTGGCGTCTCCATCGCCCTCGTTGACAACGGACAAGCTAGCCATTAAACGTCTTGTATGTAACATCAACACAAGTCCCCGGCAGATGGGGGATATTTGTGGCCTCACATTTGCTTGTGTTAGTCAAGTTGAATGTAAGTCGATATAACACGTGTTCTGATTGGATAGAAAGAAGGGAGATAATTCGTGTTGCGATCTTTTGCCGCTAGGGGATTTTACGAGAACCGGGAAATATGGCTGTATTAGAACAGAGGTTACGTAGGAAGATATGACAGGAGTAACCTCTGTGGGAAGAGAATGAGTTTTACGCTGCACTCAGCAATATTCCAGCTATCATGGCGCAGTCTGTAAAAAAAAAATCAAGTCTAGACCAGACAATCCAGTGATCAACATCATGAGCATCGATCTACACAATTGGGAACCATCCTGCCCTCCGATCCCATTAGTTGCCTCTTACGACACGAATGGGTTACTAAAGATCAATATTCTAACCCAGACCTTCACTGGTTGATCAGTCAGAATGATGACAAGAACTGGTCTTCTGGGGCAAATACTTGTGGCACATAAACTGTTCCTCAATGTCTTTGCTGAACTCTAATGCCATCCTCAGGTACTGCTGTAGATGTCAGTGGTGAGTCTATCATGTATGTGGCAAAAAAACCTACCTGACCATCCTGTGCTGCAGTTATGACAAAACAGTTCCACAGTATTGTAGTGGTGCCAGGCCATAAACAAATATTCCTTGCTTCAGCCAGAGCCAACTCGATTGTCTGTAGTTAGCTGATGGTGTTGTTGTGTTGAGCTTCTGTCAGTCATGACCATGCTTTCACTGTTTCTATGTGGTTGCATTTGTGTGCTTACCCTGCTTTTTCAGTATTTTATGGCTGTATTTTATCCTACCACTCCAATGCACACAGACATGAGGAAGTCATTTGATATTATTTTATCTTTTTTTGCAGAGTATATATCTCAGGTGTAGTCATAACATCTCTTGCTAGTGATATAATAATTAAAATGAGTATGGCAATATTCTAGCAATATCACGGGGGGATACACCAGAAATGGACATTACACATTGTCAGGAATTGAATCCAGGCCTTCTGTTTAATGAGTGAACCACTAGGCCACCCCACCGACCCTATTACATGTGAATAATACTTGATTTTGTGTGTTTGCAGGTTGTGAATGTTTTGAATCCACTTACCAGTTTGTTGCATCTTGCCTGACACTGTGCCTTCAGTAAGTACTCCATGAATAGTTTCTCACCGCTACATCGCCAAGGCAACAAAGTTCCAATACTAATCACACTCAAAACATGTATAAGGAATATCATGTTCGTTCTTCAGTTGTCAAACAGAACTTTTGAGAACATCAGCAGATCTCCTTCCCAACTGCACATCACATGATCTGAACACCCCTGTAATGAAGAAAGAGCAACATTAGTTTGTTGTGCAAGTTATCAAATTTACAAGTACATAATCTGTCATACAGAGCCTGAAACAAATATACCTAATTCTGTCCATGCAAATCTAGAATAAGTCGCAAGTCTATACTTCAACAGTTTTAGTTTCTTAAAATGGACTCCTTTTTATCGCATTGTAAGAATATACTTTAGGAACAAAATATGTTCATTTCAGAGACTACATGTTAGTCTAACAGTAACACTAATTGCAAAGACATAAATTTAACTGCAGTATAAGTTACTGACTTCTTCATTTGCATCCAAGCCATTGTAGAATAACTAATTTACTATGGTAGTCTGCTATCATCATGGCATACCAAGGTAAGCAAAGAAAATGTTATATTTTGGATTACACTTTCTCTGTGAAGTACAGATTCTAGTACCATTTGGGGTTGAGTCCCAAGTGTTAATGGGCATGGCTCCCATCAACAAAAGTTTTAAATACAAGTCTTTCAGAAAGTGTTCGAATGTAACATATGTTATATTTCGGATTACACTTTCCCAGCAGAGTAGAGATGCTAGTGCTTATTCCTTCACTTCAATCTGGGATTAAAACCCACTCTGTCAGAGTCAGGCACTTAAATGGCTGAGTGGGTTAGACTGCAGACTTTGTTTGCTGGCAATTGTAACGTTTGTTACATTTGACCACTTTATTAAATGCATTGTGTACATGAAGCCTATTTTTGAGCGAGTGAGTGAGTTTAGTTTTACGCTGCACACAACAATATTCCAGCTATATGGTGGCAGTCTGTAAATAATTGAGTCTGCACCAGACAATCCAGTGATCAACAGCATGAGCATCAATCTGCGCAATTGGGAACCGATGACATGTGTCAGCCAAGCCAGCGAGCCTGACCACCCAATACCATTAGTTGCCTCTTACGACAAGCATTGGTTGCGGAAGGTTAATCCTAACCCGGACCTTCACTGGTCCTATTTTTGAGAATGGGAGCCAGTTAAAGATTTCTATGGTATACAATCCTTGGCTTTGGTAGCCTAATGATTTTAACATGGAAAACCTTGAAACTGAAACCACAGAAATGGTAAGGTCCATCAACACCATGATCATTTACTAGCTCAGCCACAATGTTTCATCATCTGCACTGATGAACCATGAACAGAAACACTGAAATACTTTCAATTAAAATTATACAAAAGCACTAGTTCTTTCACATAAGTGGGTTAGCCTTATAAAAGTCCACCTATTATGACCATAGTAGTTTGTTTCTTCTTTGCTGTTGTTTACTACTTTTAAAAAAGTAACAGAAATAACTGGTCCATTACCCAAAATATAGACATTTATTAATCTGGACAACAGAGGCTTACCTTCAGTTTAGTAACCAGTGCTGCACCAGTTTCATAACCGTCTTGCTTAATCCTAATTATTTGAAAACAAAGCAATACTGAGCAATTTCAGTTCATTGTCATTATTGGATTACGTTACTCCATATTGGTATGCGATCGGCCAGTGTGTACAGACAACACTGTTGACCCACGCTGAGTGTATGTTTCACTGAGATGAGTGAGTGAGTTAATATTTAACGTCACATCGGCAATATCTAAGCCATATCCTGCCGAAAACAATTTATACAATAAAAAGTGAAAACATTTTGAAGATCAAAACCTGTCGACGATGGACAGTAAAAACACCAGAAAATCATAGATATAAATACAAAACCAGCGATCAAAGCCAAAACACGATCCAATCAAAGAAGACAATACAATATAAAACACGGGCCACTGATCGCCAACAACTGAAGGTAGACCACCATACTAGGAACCATGGGGACCTACACCACTTTTTGCTACCCACATGGAGCCCAGCTGGACCCACACCATCCCATCAGCCGCTGGCAATTGTAGGACAACCCAGCTGAAATTTAAAAGAACAAAAATACTACGCCTAAAAACTTGGCACGAGAAAATTCCACTCTGAAAGCCTTTGGGACTTACGTACCCTCCCAGGAGGACAACAATTTTACCGCCCCTTCAACCCCCTCTGAGGATACAGCCACCAACAATCCAAGCCGACAATCTGAACCACCAACCATTAAACTTTAACCATATACAACACACATATCAAAATTCATTTAACAAATCTATCTCTTTCAAAAAATCAATGACCAAACGATAATTAACTTTACCAAAAAGGTCCCCAACTGTTTTGACACCGAAATATTTATCCCTTATGATGGAGAACTCAACACAGTGAAGCAGGACATGCTTCACTGAGATGAGGGAATCACAGTTGATGTGATGTTGTTTAACAGGTCTTTCTCACCACATTGGTCAATATTGAAAAAAAGAAAAACAACGCATTGCACATGTATGTCACTGACCCATGCCCTCCCCAGTTACCTTTTTCTGAAGCCACCATTGTCTATCATCCAGGAGGAACCAATCAAACAACAGTGGTGTACATTATGAAAACAAACAAAACTAACTAGTTCTATTGATAACGAACATTTTCATATCAATTTGGTTCGTTACACTGACTTAAGGTAAGGCCTGTGCCTAACTGCGACCCAACACCTTACCCTGTGGCTCAGAAAGGGTTCTTTGCCTCTAATGTGTTACCCGCAGGAGCAATTAGGAGCGTGAGGCAGGCAGGCAGGCAGGCAGCGATGTACCAGGGAGACTATATAACGTTGTAGATTATCCCAGCACAGCGAGACATCGGGGAGCGCTATGTACAGCATGGTTATTTAGTCCACTTAGCCACGAGGAAAATTAATTATGATACAGGCATGTGATCTTGCCAAAGAAACCATTCCTCAAAAAAGTGCAATTTGTCAGGTACTGCACCATCAGTTTTAATGAAGTTTGGAAGAAATCAGCCTGAAGAAGTATACTACAGTACCCCAAATATTGACGCACATTTTCACTGCCATGGCGGCCTCCATACAGTTGAGGGTTTTTCTAAGACGGTAAGCGCTGTACATGTTCATGCCAAACCGGAAGTTGGTAGGACTGAAAGTTCTACTTTGCCACAGGACAGATGTTATATTTCATTCGAACACATGAAGCATATTTTTGCTTTTTCAATTAATATTATGAACTAATTCGAACTTATCGAAAGGTTATCGTTTTCGCATATAACATTCAATAGCTACACTAGCTGTTACTTTAATCATTTGGTATCGCGACAGTCATAAATAAGTTGTTTTTCATCGAGAAAACGGCATTATCAAGTCATAAATGCGTATGTTTATATGACTAAAAGCTTTCATGTTAAGGCATTGAAGGCCGTTGTGTAAATTATGAATGCAGACTTGATCTCTTCAATATATGGCTGGAATAATGCTGATGTGACGTAAAGCCTAACCCAAAAACATAATAAATCGACGAATCACCTTATATATAGTACATCTATTTCAGCTAACTGATGTGACGAAGTGGTAAGGCGTACTTTGAAATCTTCGTAGATTGTACCACAGCATGGAGAATAGAATGCTGTAGATTATCCCTGACCACAGTCACGACGACTGTCAGGCCATGGGCTGGTGACTCGAACTAAAAGGAAGAGTATTTTAGTAAAAGCCATCCCTGTTGTCATATCACTGTGGAAAGTTTTTGTCACTTTGAAATTCATGGACAGATTTCAGTATGAAACAGATGGTTTCTCCTATTTCTATTTCTATCTCTTGCGATCACCACGATTTTGATCTGCGATCTCTCGCGTAAGATAAGTTACGACTTAAAAATATAATCCGAATCGTGGCCTAGTGTAAACGCAGCATAACAGGAGCCGCAAACTACTATATAATCTTAGTGATAAGATCACACACAAATTTATTTTTTTAAATTCAACCATTCATAATTTATCAAATATACTCAATGGCGAATATTATTGTGAGGCACAAAGAATACACAATCAGTGTTGAACATTTATTGTCGCGAAAGAAATGTTACGACATGGAAAGACAAATGTTTCAAGGTGTGGTACCGATCAACAATCCGTGCACCTGGCATATGGGTGGGGTTCACAAGCAGGATGACACAGCTACTAGCAAGTGTGTCCACGTTGTGCATTGGCGCAGGCTAACACCATCGCCTCACTGAGAAAAGTCCTGGGAAAAGATCATTCTATATCCGAGGAAGGATTTGGCGGAGTTCCTGAAGCGTTGTTGGAGGATTTGTATAACATCATAATAACCTGTTTCACCTGCAAATATGCTTATTGTGTCAGATCTGAACACTGAAACAGTAACTCAATGTGCAGGTGAAACAGGAATAGTCAAACTTTACCACAGAGCTTATCTGTAAGCTGCGAGTCTTACCATAGGTTGGGATGTTCTTAGCACCAGTTATGGCTGCTATAATAACTGCTACGCATTGTCAATTTAAACATGAAGGAAACGGAGAAGGTGGAGACGGACAAAAGGTTATGGGTAAGAAAGATGGTTTAGCTAGGCACAAAATTACAATAACATAAACGGATTAAAAAATGGGCCCCATATCCACTAAACACCCTCATTACAGCAACAGATGCATGGTTTCTTAAACCGAAGCAGAAGGCACCTGCACCAAAGCATGCTCCAGTTGAGTGGGCTGGGTTTCACGCCGCCGTTTGGAATATTCCATCAACATCACGGCGGGGAACAGCAGAAAGGGTCTTCACACATTGTACCCACGTGGGAAATCGAACCCGGACCTTCGGCGTGACGAGCTAACGCTTTAACTACTAGGCTACCTCAAGTTGAACTATTAGAGATAAATCCACATATTTTTTTATAACAATGACGACACCAGCTGCAGATGGGAAAACGTTAACCATGACAAAATGATTACTAAAGTACTGTCGGAATTGTTTTCGCATTTACATCTACAATTCATGTAGTTAATATGTCAACGTGTGAAACATCTGTTAAACTAAGTTCGGCCTAACTACAGGCTCAGTGGCAGGTAGATAGGTAACGTAGAAAAAGGACTTTATTGAGGAGAAATTAG